CGCTCACCCCGGCTGCCCCCAGGCCCGGCTGCTTGCGGCGCCCTCCGTATTTTTAGCCTGTAATTGGCAGTGGTGCGGCCGGGATCTGCGGGCGCGGGGAGGGCGGCAAGGGAGCACGGCCACGTCGTCTCCCAGAGGAGAGCACGGAGGTGGCTCCGCTGCCCTGCTCGGGGAGTGCCGTCTCCTGTGAGGTTTCAGCCTCTGCCCCAGCTTTCAGAGGTGGGAGGCAAAGTGCTGTATCCCCTCTCGGAAAGGTGGTGATCTCAGCGGGAGGAGATAGGGAGAAGGAGAGCCGGGAGGAGGGAGGGATGCAGAGTGGCAAGAGGCATATGTGGGGGTGCGGAGAGCCCAAGGATGAAGCTTGGTCTTGTGTGGTGTGGGGTGATGCTGGGGAGAGGGCTCTGGGGCGAGCCTGGCTGGGCAGAGCGTGCCAGGACCCTGGCGGGCACAGTGCCAGGTTGGGCACCCCTTGCTCGTGCATGATGCCAGGGTGGCCCTTCTCTGTGCCTGCTGCCACATACAGGGTGCCCCTTATACCTCCACGGTGCCAGGCCCAGGGTGCTCCTTGAGCACACTCTGTGCCAGGGCAGGCAGTGCCCCTTGGCTGAGGTGTCGTGCCCAGGTTGCGGTGACGGCCATCCACATCCATCCTGTGCCCCAAGGTTGTGCCACCTTCTCCATCTCCAGTGTCACTGCCCGGGAATGGGAGCAGGCAGGATGTGCTGTGATCTTAGTGGAGCTGTGGACACAACAGGGAAGAGCTGGGCTCCCTGCTCTTCCCTGGGGGGTCTCAGTGCCCCTTGGCTGAGGTGTCGTGCCCAGGTTGCGGTGACGGCCATCCACATCCATCCTGTGCCCCAAGGTTGTGCCACCTTCTCCATCTCCAGTGTCACTGCCCGGGAATGGGAGCAGGCAGGATGTGCTGTGATCTTAGTGGAGCTGTGGACACAACAGGGAAGAGCTGGGCTCCCTGCTCTTCCCTGGGGGGTCTTGCCGGTGAGAAGAGCCCACATCTCCCCCGACCACCCCAGGGTGCTGGGAACAGGCTCTGGGCTGTGGGTATCTCTCCCTGTCGGGACAGAGCCAGGCCCGTGGGGACACCGGGGCCGTGCTGACGCGGGGCGGTCTTCCTGCAGAAGCTGAGCTGTAGCATGCAGTCGGAAGAGGGCACGGACTGGCTGCTGGAGCTGCTCACCGAGCTGCAGCTGCAGCAGTACTTCCTGCGCATCCGCGACGAGCTGAACGTCACCCGCCTCTCCCACTTCGAGTACGTCAAAAATGAGGATCTGGAGAAGATTGGCATGGGCCGCCCCGGTGCGTACGTCCCCCCCAAACCTCTCCCCACAGCCCTGTCCGGCTGCGCCGTCACCCCAGCCTGGTGACGGTCCCGGTGTCCCGGCAGGCCAGCGGCGGCTGTGGGAGGCTGTGAAGCGGAGGAAGGCCATGTGCAAGCGCAAGTCGTGGATGAGCAAGGTAGGGCTGGGAGGGGGGCCCTGGGCAGGGGTGGCAGGGAGGAACGCAGGAGGAGCAGGAGGAGCTTGGTGCCGTGCAAGGAGATGAGGGCAGCTGGGATCCTGCTCCTCAGCCCCTACACGGCGTGTTTGGGTGTTATTAGCTCCCTGTCTTCCACTTGCTTATGGGTCCCCTTGGTCTTCTGTGGGTGCCCAGCTCTGCCCCTGCCACGGGTCCCATGGGGCAAAGGGCCAGCCCTGTCCCCAGGGGGGTGGCAGGGAGAGGGGCACAAGTCTCCAGCCTGTCCTGCCTCCTGTGTGACCCTGGTGACCCGATGAGAGCTATGGGGTAACTTTCCAGCTAAAGACGGTACTGCCGCCCCGGCAGGCAGGAAATTCGTTCCCTTTGCATGATCTGTCTCTTTTCCAGGAAACTATTTCAGAGCTAATTAGCAACAGAGCCACATCTCATCCCAGCCAGCTCTCTGGGCAGCGCGTGGCAGCATCTCTGCTGTCCTGCCCACCAGCTGCCACAAGGCAGGGCCGAGCCCCAGGCACTGGCACTGCCAGCACCCTGCCTGTCCACTGCACCAGACTGGGGCATATCAGGGCAGAAGACCCCAAGATGCCTCTGACACTGAATCCTTCCCCCTCACCAATTTTCCCTCTTGTTGTCCCCTGTAAAACCAGTGATGCTGCCACCTCCGCACCCCGGGCATCGCTACCTTGCCCCCGCAGAACTCTCCTGCGCTTGCCAGCTGGGCTCTGGCTCCTGGCCTCTCCCTTTTGTGACTCATCCAGGCCGAGACGTGGCCGGGATGGGCTTTTAATAGAAGGCGACTCAGCCCAGCGCTGGGCAGAGAAATGCCACCTCCCACCCCAGCCACATGCCTGGCCTGGCCCCCGCATGGCTGCCCCAGCTGCAAGCCCACAGCGGGGTCCAGGGCTGGAGAGGGCCTCCGTGGCCATGTGGCACAAGCTCAGGTCCTGCCAGTCACTCTGAGAGGCTCCTGGTGGGGCAAGAAGGCAGAGAGCCCATCCCCGTCTCCTCTGGGCTGGTGAAGCAGTGTGGGCGATAGTGCCAAGGAGCTGGCATGGGGATGGCAGAGCGTGCTGCATGGCCTGTGCTGCGTGGGGATGTCCGTGGCTTCTCCATGCTTGGTGCCCATCTCGTGGCTGCAGCCTGGCTGACAGCTGCCCGGTGGCCCTTGGCTCCCAGGGACCTCCCGCTTAGGCACCCATGGGAGCACATGCTCTGCGTGAGAGGCACAGCGCAAAGGCAGCTGTTTCCCTTAGTCCGTCCTGCACTGCAGCTCACTGTGCAGCAGAGGAGCCTGCTACTGCAGCCCTGGGGAAGCACCAGATGGGGAAGATCGTCACTAGGTTTCAGAGTGTACAGCCTGGGCAGAGTGTTCTGCTCCCTTGCAGAACCAAAGCGGCAGATGGGGTGGCCTGCGTGCGTGCCATGTTCGCCCAGCCCCAGAGGAGCACGCATGGCTGTTGCCATTGGAGGGAGGGGAAACTGAGGCAGGCTCTGACTGCTAGACTCTGCTCTTGCCAATCCCTCCGCCGCGAGTGGGAGGATTTGGGGGGCCTTGGGTATCTCTGCACCTGCATCTCACAGGCATCCACACCCCACAGGTGTTCAGCGGGAAGCGCCCCGAGTCAGAGCTGCCACCCCAGCCCCAGAGCACCTTCCGCAAGCCCCCCACGCCACCCCCGCTGGAAGCCAGTGGCCAGCGCTCCCTGACCTGCCTCATCAGGGAGAGGGACCTCTCTCTCTTCGAGAAGCTGGGCGATGGCTCCTTCGGTGTCGTGCGCCGCGGCGAGTGGTGCACGCCAGCCGGCAAGACGGTGAGGGGCTGCAGCAAGCCCCCTGTGCTGGGAGTGACGCTGCTTGTGGAGGGGGATGCGGGCATGGGAGCACCTGTGCTCCAGGGTGTCTGGAGGAAAACACTTTGGGAGACCCCCAGGAATGTCTGCTGCACATTGTGACTCATCCCTGCTTTGGCCTTAGCTCAACGTGGCGGTGAAATGTCTCAAGACGGACGTGCTGAGCCAGCCAGAGGTGCTGGACGACTTCATCCGCGAGGTGAATGCGATGCACTCCCTGGATCACAAGAACCTCATCCGGCTCTATGGCGTAGTGCTCTCCCACCCCATGAAGATGGTGAGTCTGGGGTACCTGCAGGGCTCCCACCGCTGGAAATGGGACTGACCTTGACCCCCAAATATACCTGAGCCATGACTGCCCCTGCTGCACCGTGGGACTCTTGACGCCGGTGCCTGGCCCTGGTGCAGCAATCACCAATTGTGGGACAAACTGAGCCATGGGGCGAACAGGCTCTGTACCCTCCTGGGCCCTCCCCAGGGATTGCCATGCCACAGGCACAATGGGGCTGGACACCAGTATGAACTGGGGTGCTTCTAGGTCCAACCCACCTGTCTTGTCCTCTGTGTGGCCCAGGTGACGGAGCTGGCCCCGCTGGGCTCTCTTCTGGATCGTCTGCGGAAGAACCAGGGCCATTTCCTCATCTCCACGCTGTGCCAGTATGCCATCCAGGTGGCCAAGGGCATGGCCTACCTGGAGTCCAAGCGCTTCATCCATCGTGACCTGGCCGCCCGCAACATCCTGCTGGCCTCCAATGAGCTGGTCAAGATTGGGGACTTTGGGCTCATGCGGGCCTTGCCCAAAAATGACGACCACTATGTGATGCAGGAGCACCGCAAGGTGCCCTTTGCCTGGTGAGCCTGACCCAGGGGACCCTGGGGGCAGCATCCCAGTTTCCCTAGTGCCTTATGGGGATTGCAGGGGGTGCTGTTCCCACCCCCTCTTGTTACCCATCTCCTTCCTTGGGCAGGTGTGCTCCTGAGAGCCTGAAGACACGCACCTTCTCCCACGCCAGCGATACCTGGATGTTTGGGGTGACCCTCTGGGAGATGTTCACCTATGGCCAGGAGCCCTGGATCGGCCTCAACGGCAGCCAGGTGGGCAGTGCGGTGGGTGCTCCCACCCCAATGGCAGCACTGAGCCTCATGCGACCAGGGCAGTGGTGGGGGCACGTCAGGGTCTGGGCTGCTCCCCCTCCACTCACAAGCACTCCAGGAGGGGGCTTGGAGGCCACCTTAGGAGGCCCTGCCCCGATGCAGTCCCCGGCAAGGACCCAGGATGCTCTCGTGGAGCCACCATCACCGCCCTCTTTGGCAGTGGAGCAGGGCTGACGGTGCTGCTTGACCCACAGATCCTGCACAAGATAGACAAGGAGGGCGAGCGGCTGCCGCGGCCCGAGGACTGTCCCCAGGACGTCTACAACGTCATGCTGCAGTGCTGGGCACACAAGCCCGAGGACCGGCCAACCTTCGTGGCCCTGCGGGACTTCCTGGTCGAGGTAGGTGGGCAGGGAGGACATCGGGGAGCATCCCAGGGAGAGGTACCACAGGCCTGGGGACCCCCTCTCACCAATGCTGCCTGAGCCTGGCAGTTACAGGTGATATCAAGCTGCAGGGCAATGCGTACGGGGACAGGCCACGAGCTGGGGTGGTGGCTGTCTCGGGCCTGTTGCGAGGGCTCCCCTGCCCCCCATCCCCTTGATTGTAGGGCTGGGGCTCGACCTCCAAGCAGGGGCGATGGAGGGCAGCGGCCCACGTGTCAGCTCCGCTCTCCCCGCCAGGCCCCACCCACC